CTATTACAAATAATGAATTTAGGGCCATCTGTCAGACTTTGCTTTATTATTCAGAATCACTTTTTTTGTTCCCAGCAAATTTGGGTTATGAACAGACTTCATAATGTAAATAAGGGATGCCCAAGTTTGGGACAGCTGTACCAAATAAGGTCAACTGAGGTTTTTTTTATCTACATGCTGTTCTAGCTTATGGCCATGTGTAATGTGCTTGTGTTTGCTGGATTCTTCTCTTTTCCCACGCTAAAATCAATGTAAGGAGAGAAGGGAAATGAGCCACTAGCACTGAGTCCAGATACAGAGGGAAGAAAGAACAGAAGAACAGCAACTCAGGTGTACAACAGATCTGTGGTACTGGTGCTGCTAATATAAAAATGCAGCACAGTTTCCCACAGGGTTTTGTTCTATCTCCTATATAACCTAGGCTGCACCTGCCTTTTTTCTTAGAGACCTGAGAAAGCAGGCAGTACACAATAGGATGCAGTACAACAAGGACAAGTGCAGAGTGCTGCACTTAGGGCGCAAAAATATCCAGCACATCTACTGGCTGGGAAGTGCCCCTCTCAGCAGCACGGAAGCGGAAAGGGATCTCGGAGTCACAGTGGACTCCAAGATGAACATGAGTCGCCAGTGTGACGAAATCATCAGCAAAGCTAACCACACTTTATCATGCATCAGCAGATGCATGACAAATAGATCCAAGGAGGTGATCCCTCCTCTCTATGCAGCATTGGTCAGACTGCAGTTGGAGTACTGCATCCAGTTTTGGGCGCCGTACTTCAAGAAGGATGTTGATAGACTCGAGAGGGTCCAGAGCAGAGCCACTCATATGGTTAGGGGCTTACAGGACAAGCCCTATGAGGAGAGACGGAGGGACCTGGACCTCTTCAGCCTCCGCAAGAGAAGGCTGAGAGGTGATCTTGTGGCTGCCTACAAATTCATTAGGGGAAAGCAGCAAGGGATCAGAGATGCTCTGTTCACCAGGGTGCCTCTTGGGGTAACCAGGAACAAAGGTCACAAAGTGACAGAGAGCAGATTTAGGCTAGATATCAGGAAGAACTTCTTCATGGTAAGGGTGGACAAAATTTGGAATGGGCTTCCAAGGGAGGTGGTGCTCTCCCATACCTTGGGGGTCTTTAAGAGAAGGCTGGACAGGCATCTGGCTGGGGTCATCGGACCCCAGCACTCTTTCATGCCTAGGCAGGGGGTCGAACTTGATGATCTGTTGAGGTCCCTTCCAACCCTAGCATCTATTAATCGGAGGAAGGGCATTTGGTACCTGAAAGCTAAGCTAAGTCTATCCCAACTATACAGTTGGTTTAAATAAACAAACAAGAACAATCATTTATATTAAATATACAACTTCAAAGTCTAATTCACAGATCACAATTACTGATGATGATTGAGTTTTGTAGCTTTTTGTATTGGTGATTTATTTCCTTGTTCACCACAAGAGAGGGATGTGCTATATGTTCTCTATTTTTATACCTAATTTTCACTTCTGGAACTCTTTCTAAATCATTCTTTATCAGTCCTTCTAGGAATTATTATTTGAGTTCTTGCATTTACAGCTTAACTTTTTATATGAAAAAGAATACTAAGCCTATTTGTTTCTTTTAAGAAGTAGTGGCTAACAATTGCTGAATATATTAAAACCCTGCTAATATTTTAAGTTTACATTGTGTTTGATAAAAATCTCAAAATATTGAATAAGATAGAAAACATGGCAATCTCACCATTTTTACCTTGCTTAAAAATATTCACATACTGAAAAAACAATTCTGATTCTTTAATTAATGCTATTTTATTACTAATCTAGAACAATGACATTAACATTATTTTAGGTAAGTATATTCTAAAATAGACAACGGTTACATGACATCATTGAATCTACCATTTTATTTTAGACTTCCTTAGTACCTTCATATCAGCAGCAAAATATGTGGCTGTTTAGGAAATAAACACCAAATAAAATTTTGATTACTTCTGATGTGAAGATTTGATATATACAAAAAATTAGAATGCTATCTGGTGCCCCACAAAGTCCCAAGTTTTGTGAATAGAAATATATTTTTGAAATTTGTTATAAATAATTACATTCTTAGTTATTGAATCCACAAAAATAAACACTTACTACTGTGCACAGTCAATCAGTTGGTATTCGTTTGACCTCTCGAAGCATGCCTTTACTCCTTCATCATCCCAGAGCTTTTTTGCATGTTCAAAGAATTCCTGAAAATTGGAAATGTGACAAATAAGTGAAGATTTCTTGACTTAATTAAAAAAAAAAGAACTTCTCTTCTGAAATCTTCATTTTTAGAATAGTTACTAAATGAAAAGTTATGCATTTAAAAAAAGAAAAAAAAGAACAGTAATTAGTAAAATCACAGTAAGCTTAATTTACTGTACACACAGCTGCCAGTATAGTTTCCATTATCTGATATACTCAATGACTGGCTTAACAATTCAGGCAAGTCAATGTATGAAATTTACTGTAATTACAGGTGCTGCTTAGAACTGTTCTCAATTTTTAACTTTGTTTATAGCTGAGTCATGATTAGGTCACAAGTATGGTGGAGAAAATAGATTATTTTAGTCTAAAGGTAACAGTTACATGGAAAAAGAATCAAAGGGTAGCTTCTTAAAAAAAATGGTTTCTTTCTCTCAACCCCCTCCCCCAATTTTGTCTGCTGAGTATTTTTGCATACAATGTATAAATTTGTGTGCAAGAATTTCATATACTTTGCTTTTCTATCTTCCTGAAAAGAGCACTTGCCTATTCAATAAATAAAAATAAATAAACTTACATAGCTTAACTTCCCTCCTATGTGACCAAAAGGAAACTAGAAATGAGAAAACCGGATTAACAAATCCCAGTGCCAAAAGACAAAGTTTCAGGTAAAATCAAATTCACTGGTATATTGGAGTCTGAATAGCAGATCTTCTCGTGTGAAACCAAGGTAAGTTAGCACCAACTCTTAAAATTGTAAGGAAACCTCTGCACAACACAACTGAACACCCAAGGGGTGAACATGAAAATCTTACAAAAGAATCTTTAAGGGCAACAACCTTTATTTCTGCTGTGAAACACAGTCTATCGGACGACTTATCAATTGAGCAAAAGACCCTCTGTACGTTAGTTTCTTGTTGCTACTCAAATCAGATCCTCTATGAATTACATATTCAAAAGACTCTGGTCTCAACTTCTGGAGATCAGGGAGCTACACATCTGGAAATGCACAATAAATAAAAGACCCCTGCCCTCAACCCAAACTGACTCAACTTCCCTCCCACTAAATATTTTTTAAAAAGACAGGAATGCTCCCAGAGAAAGCACTGTCTATTTGGCACAGCCAACCTGAATAATTGATACCTTGATATAGGCACTCATGTAAGCCTAGATTGACTGTGAGAATTCCTACAGTAAATCCCTACTTTCAGTACCTTAAATTTCTGTATTTACACGCATGTGTGTGTGTCTGGTTCTTTGGACTAAGATGCCTCAGGATTATTTTCAAAGCTTGTCTACATGGGAAAGATGGTCTATAGTAAACTACAAAATGAATTTACAGTGCACCAGTTACTTTGCACTCCTCTGTGGATTCCCTCAGTGCATACTAAAATGTCTGTGTGAACAGTAGTTTTGGTCATTTTGAAATACAGTAAGAAACCTCACCCTTAATGCACACTAAGAGTGCCCACATGGGGAATTAGTGCAGATAAGCTAAGGTGCTGTAAATTCACACCTTGCCTTACTGTGCCACAACTTTCCCATGTAGATACACCCTCAGACAGTGGTGGAGGAGCTTGTCTATCCTTTGGGAACAAAAAAAAAGCTACGTCTTGACAAAGGTTAGAGAGACTGAGCCATTTTGATAACAGGTCCTGTTTTACAATCAATGTAAAATTTAGACTTGCCAACTATTATGCTCCTTTAGCTTAATTTACAGATCTACAGATTTTCCAGAAGTTGGTGGACTTAATGGGCTCAGTTACTTGCACAGACGAGAAGACCTGCTGCCCCTAATTTCAGAAGGGCAGCTGGTCACTAGCACAATACCAAAGACTACTATGGATACAGCCAACAGTGCACTTAGCTCCATGACACCTGCAGTGGTCACTGAACTGCTTATCATGGCTGCAGGGACTGGACTTTCCCAAGGAGGTCTGAACTACAGGGGAAGACTTGACATTGAGGGCCACAGAGATTTTCATCTTCAGGAGTGACAAAACTTTATATATTCTAAAAGATTGAAGTCATCCTCTGTTCCTTGGGAGGCACTTTCTCCTTTTAAAAATGCAGTTTTGAAAATCAGTCCTGTGCAGCACAGAGAGGAGATCCTCTTTCACTAGCATTGCTTCTGTTTCACTGGTGCAGCTAGCACCTCAAAATAGGGAACTGTCTATAAAGTGGCAGAGATGATATGGACAGAAACAACTGGCTGTATCATACAGCTCAGTACAGACCCAAACCTTCCTACTGTCCATACATAAAACCCTTAAATATATGCTTATGTGTGTGCACTATACAGATCCTGCTCAGGCAAGAAGTCATCGTCAGGGAGTCATAGAGAAGTAGGTCTGGAAGGGACCTTCAGAGGTCATCTAGTCCAAACCCCTGCCTGAGGCAGGATCACCCCTATCCAAAACATCATTTAAACTTATTGCCGTCAACCCTGACGCAACACAGACCTAACACCCTAACCTGCCACAGGTAAAGCAAGGAAACCACGGCAACCAATGTCCTGCTTCTATAAAATGTGAATATAGGCTCTAGAGGTCCCAGGTAGAGGGCAATGTCCCCTTCTATAGAAGAAAGCAAAAAACCCCACAGTCTGTACCAATCTGACCATGGTACAAAATTCCTTCCTGACCCCAAATATGGCTATTGGTCTGACCCTGAGTGCAGGGGCAAGACCCTCTAGACAGGAACATTTGGCTTTAGTCCCAGCAGGAGCATTGGCACATCCCAGTCAAAACTCCAGCCTTGGCTGTAGCCAGCACCCAACACCTCTGGGAAGGCTTAAAAACACCGAGACACATATAGTAGAAAAGGGGGGGAGGGAGCAACCAACAAAGTCCAGAAGCATAGGAAATACTCATGGCAGAACATAGGCATAGCTGCACCTATGTACAACTACATGCCACAACTTCTTTAAGCAATCTAGTCCACTGCCTCATTGTTTTAACAGTGAAGTTTTTCTGGCTATCCAGCTTAAACGTACTTTGCTGCAAATTCCAGCCACTGGTCTGCATCCTCATTCCTGCAGCAAGAAAGTACAGGTGCTTTCCCTCTTCTTTATGGCAGCCCTTCAAGTATTTGAAGACTGCTATCATGTCCCCTCTTAAGCACCGTTTCCACAAGCTGAACATGCCTAATTCCTTCAGCCTCTCCTCATATAACCTGCTTTCCAAGCCCTTGATCATCTTTGTTGCCTGTCTCTGGACCCTCTCCAAGTTCTCCACATCCTTTTTAAAATGTGGAGTCCAGAACTGCACACAGTATTCCAGATGAGGCCTAACTAGTGCCAAGTAGAGAGGCACTATCACCTCCCGTGTCTTGTACCTAATGCTTCTGCTGATATATCCCCAAACTGCATTTGCCATCACACTGCAGCCTCATTTGGAGTCTGTGGTCTACCAAGACTCCCAAGTCCTTTTCCATAGTGCTGCTGTCCAGCCAGGTGTCCCCCATTTTGTAGTTGTGTTTTTGATTATTCCTCCATAGGTGCAGTACCTTGCATTTGTCTGCACTGAACTAATCCTGTTAACTCTAGCCCTACTTTCCAATCTGTCAAGATCTTTCTGAATTGCACTTACAGTCTCTGTGTCTACACTCCTTCTCAGTTTTGTGTTGTCTGCAAACTTGCTTAGGAAGCTTTCTATGCCAGCATCCAAATTATTAATATACATGTTGACTAGCATGAGGCCCAGGACAGACCCCCTGTGGGACTCCACTCAAAACCTTTTGCCATTCTGACATGGACTCATTAATAATTAACCTTTGCTTATGGCTATTGAGCTAGTTATAAATCCATGTTGCAGTAGTATATCTAGCCCACATTTCTCCAATTTGTTTATGAGAAGGTTATGTATGTGGGATCTTGTCAAAAGCCTTGCTGAAGTGCAGATACACTATATCCACAGCATTTTCTTCATCCATCCAAATAGTTACTTTTTCAAAGAAGGAAATCAGGTTTGTCTGATGTGATATGTTTTTCATAATTTCATACTGGCTGCTTGTGATCAGCCTTTCTTCCTCCAGATGCTTTACAATGGCCTTCCTTAGAATACGGTCCAGTAACTTCCCAGGTGAGGCTAACCAGTCTGTAGTTTCCAGGGTCCTCCTCCTTGCCTTTTTTAAAGAGAGCACTATATTAGCCCTTTTCTAGTTCTCTGGTACCTGGTCCATCTCCCATGACTTCATGAAGATCATTGCCAAGGGCTATGAGATCTCCTCTGCCAGTTCTTTCAGGATCCTAGGATGAAGCTCAACTGGCCCTACTGATTTGAAATCATTCAGACTCAACAAAAGCTCTCTGACTGTCTCTACTGTTTTCTCCTTCCTTATCCAGATAATCCCTATTAGGTATCTGACTGCAACCTATTTTTTTTGTGAAGACTGGGGCAAAGTAGCTGTTGAGTAGCCCTGCCTTCTTTGTATCTTTGGTTAGGAGTTCCTTCTGGTTTGTTGACACAGGATTGACAGCTTCCTTGGTCCTTCTTTTCTGGCCGACATACTTATAAACCCTCTCCTTCTTGTCCTTAACCTCCTTTGCCAGGTGAAGCTCATTCTTTATCTTTGCCTCCTGATTTTGTCCCTGCAGGCTCTGGCAATTTCCTGATATGTGTCCTTGGTGACCTTCCCATCCTTCCATTGCCTGTATGCTTTCTTTTTGCATTTGAGGCATTTTAGAAGCCAAGGATGTCAGATAAACCCACTAGTGAGACTATGTATTGGGCAATTTCTTGAAGAGAATACTTCATTAAAAATATTCAAAGTTAAGTCTTGCTAAGAAACAATATATTTACTTCAAATCCTTGTATTTAGGGGCATTATAAATTTTATACTTCACAAACAATAAACATATTACTCTCAAGAATAATTAAATATTCCTTTAAATAATTTAACTTTAAGTAAAGGAAATTTAAAGTTCCTAAATTTTCAGCTGTCTTTCAAAGAATACTATCAAGTAGAAAGCCACTAATATATTTATCCATCAGCAACAGAATTGTTTTGTAATGTACAAACTGCAGTTTACAGAGACTAATGCAAATACGTTTAAGAGGAAAAGTATGTAACATTGTTGAAATACAGTAAATCATATATGGCACTGTGATTTTATATCTATACTTTCTCTGTTTCTTGGTGTTTATTTTTCCCCTATATATTTATAGGGAAATATATACATACATATTTTACACACACACATGACAGTAACCTTCCTGCTTTGATATTATAAAATTTGTGTGTGTGTGTTGGTTACAAAGGACTTTACTCATGGTGTTATTCAGGAATAATTCCATGTGTAGATGCTTTTCAGCACTACCTAAATTTTCCAAAATAAAGTTATAGGGCAAACTAACATGTTTCTGCATAATAGAACCTGGTTAATTTGGAAAAGCTAGAATGTTTCCAGAATTTCTGGTTTAGAAACAAATTTGCCATGTGACCGTCAGCAGTTTACTTAACTTCTTTGTGGTTCAGTTTTACTATCTGTAACATGGGTATACTGCTGTGAGACTCAGTTATTGTCTGAATATTATGCAACTGCTTGGAAAAGCCTGTTTTCCAATCCATACTGTAATCTTTACAGAACAAACTCATTAGCAGCAATAACATTCATAGCAGAAGTTTTTGTTAAAAGCTTATGCTTGCAGTGAATTCATTGCCCAATCTTAAATCCAACTGCCAAAATGTACCACACAAGAAAGGTAATACAGGTAATCTACACTTCGCCAAGCAACTGTCAGCTACTAAGAATACAAGGGGAGAAAAGATCTTCAGAACAGATGGTATAGACAGTCACGGAAGGTAATTTTTAGTCAAATTTTAATGTATTTACAGATGTTCCAAATAACAACTCTTGGTCTACAGAAATATAAAACTGACTTTGTCATCTATTATAGATACATATATTTATTAACCAAGAGATAATCAGTATACCAAAGTCTAAGAGAAACTAGGACTAACATGCTGCAACTAAATATAATCCAGACAATAATAATATTCATATTAGATTCATAAAAAGGTTAGGCACAAATGTGCTCCACTGAAGCTTTTAATTGGAGAGGTCAACATATACATGCCCATTGTATTTTTCTTGACCCAAGATTTAAATTAGGCATCACAGCCGGCATCAGGAAATGAAGAATGATGTTTCAGTGCTCATTAACCACAGGAGTTTAATTTCTATTTAAATGTTTGTGTAGCTGGTGTAAAATTCATTTGCAAAGAATTTATTAAATTAAATTACAAGTTCCACAGTTTTACTATAAAAATGTGAAATACAGTCTCTTGATTATTTAATAATAGTTCAAACCTGTCTGGAAGAAGAAAATATGCAAATTTCAACTTTACGCACTAAAAATCAAGAACACATATTTCTGACCCTTGTGTTTATTTACATAGGTGATTATATTTTTGTACATTTAAATGTTCATGCAGTACCTGAAAAAGGTGGATAGACACAGACACATGCTGATATGTTTTTAAAATGTATTTTGACTTCTAATGGTTCCATTAAGTGGATATTAAGCAAAACATCATTTTTTGATGTTATTCCCTTTAATAAGCACTGTACTTTGTATTATGA